GAATTCCAATAACCAACAATTACTATTCTTAAAAAAGTGCTCAATACAAAGTAGAGCAGATATAATTATTTTTTATAAAAAAATTATAACATAAGTATGTTATAAAATCACTACAAAAATAGCCATTTTGTTTCAACACACTCTGTGTCTTACAAACTTGTTTGGGTGGGAATGTAAAATAAGACACAGAGCGTGTTGAAACAAAATGGCTATTTTTGTAGTGATTTTATAACATACTTATGTTATAATTTTTTATAATATATATATATATATATATATATATATATATATATATATATATATATATATATGAAAGAATAGTAGAATAAGATAAGGGACAAATTGTAAAGTTTTATTTTTTCATTTAAACTACATCAGAATATTTAGTGGAATAAATTATAGAAGAGAATGTTCTAAATTTTTTGTGTCGCACTTCTAGTGTTCTTATCATTCTGCCGGATTCTACTTCATAATTGATCCAAATCTACACACACAAACCCACACACGCATATATATATATATATATATATATATATATATATATATATATATATATATATATATATATAAAAAAATATGTTGTAGTGGTTCCAACGAGAGAAAAAGTATGTATATTAAAAAGAAGAGAGGTGCCGCAAACGTGTCTCCCTACACAAAAGCAATACAAAATTGACAGACAACAGAAAACTTTTTGCATCACAACACATTTTCAAACGCAACCAGGGTAAGTTCAATATCATGCCGATATATCAAACAGACAACCACTCGTATCCACAAATACACGAAAAAAACTTTATAGACAAATTCAAACCCGAACTGAATAAATCGTAACGCCACACACAAAAAACACACACAACATGCACACAGGTTGCGTTTGAAAATGTGTTGTGATGCAAAAAGTTTTCTGTTGTCTGTCAATTTTGTATTGCTTTTGTGTAGGGAGACACGTTTGCGGCACCTCTCTTCTTTTTATATATATATATATATATATATATATATATATATATATATATATTATATATATATTGTAAAAACAAGTACTTATTTCGATTAAAAATAGAATCAGTAATGTTGAATATGGCTTTTCGACTAATGATTTAGTTTTGCAGCAATGTGCTTTATGGGCGAAATTGCCCTTTGCAAAATTTTTGGACTGTCAGATATATCAAACTCTTATACTCTATTTGTTTCACCTAACCTCAACCACAATGTACTGGCTCGTTTTGAATTCATACCGTTTCCAACTGTGTGGAGTGACCGCCTTCGTTGAGAATCACGAAATTATATTTCTGAAATTAGTCAACCTCAATGAGAGGCTTATTTCAGTGTATGATTTCTTCATCAAAGTATATTTAAAATTCTGCCATTTTGTAAAATGTAATTTTCTCCAATTTCGAAGGCAATTATGACTTATCTCTATCTATCTATCTATCAATCTATCTATCTATCTATCTATATATATATATATATTACTTAAACGAAGCTGTAATTTTAAAATCTACTTAATACCATTTCTTAATATTTTTCTCCTTTAGCAACTGTCAACTTATATGTTACCTGAACGAAAAACCTAGTATCATAAGAAGAGATTTGTCAGCAGAAATGACACTCCTTAATCACTTTCAGATATTAGACATCTTTAAAAAAAATGCATACGATAAATTTGATCGAATGTCGAATAAATGACGTTATATTTCGCCTTATTCGTTTTAAGCAGATTTTTTATAAGAATTAATGCTTATGCACTTAGCGATCACAAAACGCATCTTATAACTGAATGGAATATATTACATCAAATGTAATTGAAATATTATTGGATATTTTAAGTCTAAAATCTATGGTCAATCAACAGAGTGATATACGAATTACTGTGAATGAGATTTTGGAGAATCTATGAATATTATCTTTTCATATCTTTCACCGAATAGATGTTTCATCCGAGAAAGCAATATTTTTCATAAAATCTATACATCGTTTAATAAGCAGGACACACACACACACACACACACACACACATATATATATATATATATATATATATATATATATATATATATATATATACAAATTAGAGAAAGAAAAGATGTACATATATATATATATATATATATATATATATATACACACACAAATAAGAGAAAGAAAAGATGTAGTTTAATTCCACTGTTCGTAGCATTTACAAAGAAGAAGAAGAAGAAGGGAAAACAGAAGAAAACGTATCAGCGGGGGGGGGGGTTAATTGAAATGTACATGCATTTAGAGGAATGTTTTAGTACGTAGGCAAGGACTCATACCTTCGAATATCTGGTTCAAATTTAGACAAAAAGTCATTATTGCTAATTTTTCCTGTTGCCAGAGGTTGTAAATATTATCGTAATGGCTAAAATCCTTCATCGTTTTAAAATCTTTCAGCTTACAATCTGATCCCTGCAGCTTTTTTTTTCTTTTAAATTCCATACATGGTTAGCGAGTTTGTATAGCACATAAGACTTACTAGCTTGAATGATGAGCTATGATTGTACCGTCGACGTTTAAATCAATCTTCAGTTCATGCTATTTACGTTTTATTCTGGCCATTAATATCTGTTAATTCTGCTATATATTAATTGATTCGGTTTTATAAGCCATATCGAATAGACATCTATTTCTGTTTCTGCAGTTGCATACATTACTAGTGTTAACAATATTTTGCTGTTAGCTTTGAAATTTCTGGCATCTTGTCTATTATTGTTTCTACATTAATAGGACTGCTGTATTTTAATTTACATCCGTCTTTAGTGAATACCTTATGCAATTCTGAATTTTTGGGAAATCTTTAGAAAGTAACTTGAAAAATAATTTCTCTATTTTGCATTTTAACTCTAAGATTAAAAAGTGGGTGTTAAACCAAATTATATTTCTTTCTTTTCCTCGAATTATTCTTCAGATGCTATTTAATTTGAGGTTTACAGTTAAAAGCTCTACACTTTTTATTTTATCTTTAACACGTGTATTGAGCATTTTTTTATACTGCTGTTTCCTGCTTTGTTTCATTAAGCATTCAACTTTAATGCATTATAATTAATACATTAAACTTTTATGTATTATATATATATATATATATATATATGTATTAACCTTTATGTATTATTTATATATATATATATTAAACTTTTAAGCATTATATATATATATATATATATATATATATATATATATATATATATATATATATATATATTAAATATTTTATGTATGATATATAT